AGATCAGAGAGTTGGTAGCTTGTGGGCAAATACTATTGCAGAAGGTTCACACTTCAGATAATGCAGCTGATATGTTAACCAAGTCAGTTACCATAGACAAGTTCAGACATTGTTTGAGCTTGTTGAACATTCACTAATGCTGGACAATTGAGCGCCCTCAACCCAATGGTGGAAGATGGAGATTGATGATATTCGCCAAGGTGGAGATTGTTGTTCAATGACTCATATTCAATGGATTGGACCTCTTCTCATCATAACAGCAATACAAGTTATGGGTTTGGGCTTATGTAAAGGGTTGGGGTAGAAGACTATATATATTTATGCTATGTAAACCTAATGTAACAAGGAGAACATTAATTAAACACAAATCCTTATTCTATAATACATAGTGGTAGCCTCTCAACGCTCCCAGGGACATAAGCACAATTGGTCGAACCTCGTTACCAAATTCCTTGTGTTATTCTCTTCTCTTCTCTTTTACTATTTGATTGATCGCTTGTTCCCAATAAAGGTGACCAATCTCAGACTTATCAAACTATCTTTAGTTAGAAAGGAAAATAGAAGGTTGAAGACACACATGAAATACCTAAACTCATTTCGATCATTATTTTATAAGCTTATTTGCCTTGTATAATGGTAATGAGATAAGTTGGGTTAATTTTGAAAATGCAAGTATGCATCATAGTATGATTTTGATGAAAACAATGACAAAGGCAAACTTGAAGATAAAGTCAACTCAACAAACAACAAGGCCAAAGCTCAAGCTCAATCAAATAGACTTAGATAATTAGGTCATTTGTTTTATATATTGTCTACAAGTCTTAAGATGATTGATTGGGTAGAGTCTAGGCTTGCATACATGATTGACATAAGTAACATGCTCAAGCATTTAGACATAAGTAACATGTTTTTTGTGCATTAAACAAAATTTATCACTCATACATTTCTAAATCATGATTTATGCATATACTCATCATGTAGAAGGTTCATCATGCATCAAGAAAATCATTTTAGCTCAGTTAATCGATTGTAACTTGTATTACTCAATTATGTGATCATGGGAACCCATTAATCGATTAAGTATGGTATTAATCGATTATCTGAAGTTATAGTAGCCACAACTTTTAATTTATTGGCATTGTTAATCGATTAAGTATGAGATTAATCGATTATCTAAAGTTACAGTAACTAAAGTTTTTTAATTATGGGTGTTGTTAATCATTTAATCCATGTATTAATCGATTACAGGCCAACAAAAAACACATAAGTATAAATTAAAAAGTTGTTTTTCCCCATTTGTTTATAACTAACAAAGCTAACAATCAAATTCTGAAATTAGAGCTACCATTTTCAATCTTCTTGAACGAAATTTCTTGCTCAACATTTTAGTTCTATTGATTCAAAAGATTATAGAGATAGGATAGTTTTGTAAGATCATCCATTGTGCAAAAATTTCACATCCATCTTGAAAACCTAGCTTAACCACACAAAATATTTTTTTAGTTTTTGTGAGATTTGTGGGCTAGTGTTAGGGTTGTTATTGTTTGTAAATTTGCATATTGAGGTGAAAGTAACTTTAAGAATCTTGTAGACGATTTTGGTGAAATTCTCTAGGTCTATTTAGTATCACCTTGGTTGAGAATTGCGTTATAAATCATAGTTGTGGTTAGGTTGTTATCTTCATATATACAAGATTTTTTGTTGTAAGTGATTAGTGGTTGGGGCCAGACCGTTAGAAGTGGTGTTGAGTATCCACTAGACTCGGGTAGAAGGTCAAACCATCTTGGAGACTCTAGGGTCAAGAAGGGAGTCTTTTATCGATTTGGAAGTGTGTTTGTAGAACATTTGATTATCAAATAGTGAAGAAAAATCTCCAAAGCTCAGAAGATGAGGCCTGAATGTAGTTTGCAAGTGGACCTGCAAACGAACCAAGATAAAAGATCGTCGTCTCCATTTTTCTCTATCCCTTATCTATTTAATTTCAGTCAATTTACTATTTGCATAACTAATTTTGCTTTACTTTCTAAATTTACCGCATATTATTGGTTCTGTTGATAATTAGGCATAAATTCATTAAGTGAATTGAATCTTTTATTGATTGATATCATAGTTTCTTGTCTTGCAAGAAATATGTTTTCAAGAGTTCATGACTCAGGACAATCAATTAAATGTTGTGGTAATCGACGATTAATCACAACATAATCCATTATATTGGTGATTTTTCATATTACCTTATTAATCGGGAAAGCATGAATTATGATCCGCTACACATATTCACCATCTCCTCTACGTGTGTGAGAGCCCTTATTATTCAACAAATTTTATTATAATTGAAAAATAATTTCACATATCTTTTAAGAAACCTTTTTTTAAAATCTTTCTCATTGTTTACTCTTAGGGGACCTTTTATCTCTATGTAGATTATGACTATCAAATGTAATTTTTGTCATCATCAAAAGGTGCAAATTGTTGGAACCATAATGTGTACAATAATTTCAAAAGCAGCCTGCAAAAACAAACATATAAATCAACGATTCATCAATATATAGACATGATATATCTTATTGAAGAATGGATGAAGAAAAAAATGGATGATTTTAGTTTTTAGGTAAAAATATTTTAAAATATTTCAAAATTAATTACTTGAAATTGGTTAATATTTGAATATTGATTTCTTTGATTTGAAACAATAACATGCATTAAACACATTAGGTAGTCTAATTACCAAAATTGAATTCCTTTGATCTAATGTGCCATATCTCACTCTTAGGAATTATATAAGAGATGAGAGAATTGTAAAAAAAATTCCAAAATAATATAAATGCTAAGAAAAATTGTGGATTGAGGCCTGGAGGGATATTATATCAGTTATCAAATCAGTCAGAATATTGGTATACTGATATAGTAGTTCAATCGATGATTCAATAATTAAATTGTATACCGCTGAAGTTAGATATATACATATAATATATTAATATTAATATTTAAAAATCAATAAAAATAATAATTTTATTTTTATTAAAAATTAATTTTAAATAAAAAATCAGTCGATATGGTAATTTTAGCTGGTATGATCAGTTTTGACCGATTTTTACAACAATAGTGGCAAATATTAAAAGTGTGATTGACATATATATGGTTTAATTTAACTGAGCGTTGTAGTGGGAGCATTCGGACTAGAATTACATATTTAAACTATTAGATTATTACTTTTTTTAAACATATTAATTTTTATATTAATTTAATTAAATATTTTAAGAATTTAAGTTTAAACTCTCAATATTAATTATAGGTATAATTATTTAATTGGGTCCTAAACTTTATAATATTAATTCCATACTAACATATTTCCAAATATTTGAGTAATTAATTACTTGAATGTGTGGTTTAAGATCGACTCAATATGTGGTTCAACAAATTAAGAAATTTTCTAAACTGAGTCAAACCATATATTTAAAAAAGAATTTGTTACTTTCAATTTGTTGATTATTGCTGAATTATTTTCATTATTTTAGTTTAGTTAACATTTGATTACTTTAATTATTGGAGAATATCAATAATTTCACCTCTAATTATATGCTTCAAAAGTAATGTAGGGAATGAGTGTAATGGTAGTATTTGATTCATGGAAAAAGTGGGAACAAGTAAAGGACATGAAGAGGAGGATGAATTGATATAAACCATATTGTTTATCCAAAAGAGAATATACAATTGATCCTATGTATTTTTCAAAGCTCAAAATGATTTTGTAGTTGCAACAAGTTAGTAATGATAATTTAATTCAAAGCTCAAAATCCTATGTATTTTTCAATAGAATGGAAAGTATGAACTCTATGGTAGTCGGCAAGGTCATTCAAAGGACAAAAAAACATAAATAGTGAAATTGGAAAAACTAAGACCCACCCAATTTACGCAACAACCACGTCATAAAAATAAGGCCAATGTACATGTAAATTAATAGTAGTAGATAATAGTGAATAACTGTTTTGTTATATTTATATTATACAAAATAATAATGATGTGACAATATCGGAATACTACGTAATTATGTTGAACTCCATTTGAGTTACACAAGTTCTCATTAGATTACATATGATGTATCGAATTCAATAATATTTTTTTAATTATAAAATAATTTATACCATAATGATCACAATTTATATCAGAGCGATCACAATAATTACAATCATATTAACCACAATCGTAATTTAAAATAAATAGTAAATAATGAAATTTTGTACATAGTATTAGGGGTGAGCAATACTCGACCCTACCCGCTCACCCAGCATGGCCCTATCACGAACGAATCTGAATAAGGTCGGGTCTCATCGAGTCTAGGGTCAGTCCAAATTTAAAAATTAGACCCGGTAAATATTTAGGATCGGGTAAGGGACAAACATGACTCGACCCAGACCTGTCTCATTGTTACTCACTCATCATGTTTGTATGTATCTTTATTTAATTGTATATATAGTAATAATATATTTTTAGTCAAAAGTGTTATTGATTCTCTAATTTTTTCATCATATATATATGGTTAACAATATATATATATATATATTTATATATTCATATTAATAAATAATATTAGTGAGACTTTATTTAAAACATATATGCATTATATTTAATTAGATCTAGGATCAGATTCAAATGTTGGCTCAATCAATAGTTAGGATCAGGTTAACTTCAAATTTAAATATTTAATCAACATTTTAGATTGAATAAGAGACAAGTCTTACTTAACTCAATCGGGCTTATGCTCACCCAACATCACACCATAGAAGGTGGTGACTTTTTGTAAGCGAAAAAAAAAATATATTCTATTTTGTTTCTGAATCTCCCCACGTCCTCTACTCTGCATCTATAAATACCTCTGCTGCGTACCTCCCCACCATGTATCAGAAACATTTAATGTTACATAATGGTAGCTAGCTATCTTTACAAAATGTGTTATTATAGTTCTATCTTTCTTACTCTTCACCTCTTCTTGGTTTTTAGTGTGAAAGAATCTGTTAAGCTCAGGAGGGATAGCGCCATGGATGCTCTTCTCTTTTGCTCCATTTATTTGGTTTGCATTTTCATTTGATCTTCTATTGCGCTATCCATCCTGAGTTTCATGGGTTTTTCACTCTCTCCCTCCAATACTCTTCTTTTCACCTTTTTCCAAGGTCAGTTGATGAATCTCACCGCTAAATATAATTATTACTCCTTATAACTTCTTAATATCATGCTTGACAAAGATTACTTATCTCACTTCCTGTCTCGATCCAATGAGTAATAATAATTAACATTTTGATCGGACCGGAACAAGAAGTGAAACAGATGGTCTTTCATTTCCATCTTTACTTTCATTTTTTATTGATATGGCAATTTTAATGAATAATTTCTTTGTTTTGTCTCTTTTTTTACTGAGAGAAAGAGTATTAAGTGCCTTCACGAAAATGAAAATGAAGAAAGTAGGAAGAAATGCATGTGCCTATCAAGTTTATTGCAAGTTTTCTCTTTTTATCTCAAAGTTTTCTCTTATAATCTAGAATTTTTTATATCTGTTATCTCCGTTCAAGTAAATAAACACAGAAGATCGAATTCATGATTCTCTTCGTTCGTAACCTTCAATTATTGTCTTTGGCTTTTAGCTTATAATATGTTTATATCATGAGATCATGATTTTCCTTTCACTCCCTCTGATTGAAGAATGAGACTCCTATCCATTGCATAGTGAAGTGATTATTTCCTTTGAATTTTAAGAGTAAAAGTGTAATATAACTTTAGATATAAAGTTCACAAATGTCAATGCATGTTATTTTTCTTTTGATATTCCATAATAATTTTCTCTTCGTTAATGGAGAGGAGTCTTAACCCTAATTGAAACTAAACTAATCACAATTGAACTGAAATATATTCCATATCTGATGATCAACCATTACTGATTAACTAGAGAGACTATTTATAAAAACATAAATAAAACAGAGACTGTTAAGTTTCTCACACCAAATATTCTATTGAGAATGTGGATTCTCTCCATGACGCTGAGGTCTAATTATTTTTTCTTTCAAATGTGGTTTATCAATGTAGTGTGGGTAATCCCAATTTTTTTATCACCCCATTTTGTTCATTTTTGTAGTGAAGGGATGACACAGTGTTGAAGATTCTATATTGAACATTGTTGGTCGTAGTAGGCCTCTCCGAATCATAAGTCAATCTTAACTTTTGTGGGTTCTTATCTTCGTGTGTTTAAATTTTCCGATGAAAAATATCAAAATTTTATAACCAATTTAATTATTTTCCTATTAAATGAAACAAACTATTATTTTATTTCCTTTAAATCATATTCCTTTTTTTTAATTGTTTTGGCTTGCTTGAAATATGTAATGCATTTTATTGAAACCTTATAATTAAAGCATATGAAAATTGTATGATATTTTATATCTAAATTTAATATGTTTATGGTATTCTAGACAAGTTTTAGAGTTGTCAATTAAGCTCAAGCCAAGATGAAGTTGGGCTAAAAACTTATGTTATTTGTATAAAAATTATTAATCCAAACACTTTGTCAATTTAATACTCGAGTATGGACTTTTATTAGTCTTCCTTTGGTAGAGTAGAAATATAAGAGAAAGAAAATGAGATGAGTGAAGTTGAATATAAATGATATATTTCTCTCCTTTGGTTTATGAGAGAATTTAAGGAGAAAGAATGAAAATGATGGGGTGCCTAGGAAATTTCTTTCTCCTCCAAAGTGAGGAGAAAATGAGAGAGGAAAAGGGACCATAATCTATCATCTCAAACTATATTCTAAACTATGTTTGGTACCAATGATATTGAAGTAAAAACAAAAAATAATAAATATTTAATTTTTTTAATTGAATAACACATTTTTAATCATACAGGACATAATTTAAGATATAATTTGGGACAACAAATCTTTGTCTGAGTAAGAGCGGGTGGAGTAAAATCACTTTTTATTTTTTCACATTATCTCTCACATATTTTTCTCTTCTTATTTTCTTCTCTCCAACCAAAGGAAACATTAGACTGAATAATGGAATTTGGGGGACTTTGCCTACCCGTGTTGATGTCTTTTGTCATATTTCATACTAGTATCCTTGTTGGATACCAATGTGATCCTTACCAACTTGCATAGATTCAAATCCTTGAGAAAACAAGTATAAATAGGGGTAGCAACCTTCCATGTAAATGATAGAGGGATACTATGATTAAAACTAAAATATACATATATCAACACTACTAACCCATTCAAAAATAGGCCATGATCTCCATTTTTTCTCCAATACGGAATATCTTTTTTCTCGAAAGCATAACATGCGGTCTGATCTGGTCTATTTAAATTAAGATGTCCGATCTAATCCAATCTAAATATTATATGTGGTGTCGGTTCGGTTTGTATCGGTTTTTTATAAAATAAAATAAAATTGGACATACAGTCAAATACTTAAAAAAATAAGATATTGCATATGGGTCAAGATACCAAATTAAATTGAAATGATGAAAACTTTATGGATGACCTTAACTACCTAACTTAAAATCATCCACAAAGAGGCCTAAACATATACTAATATCAAAATAGTCCAATGATCCAATCAATTGAAACAATTATATGTGAAGTAGTGTTTTTTCTAGCAATCATTATCATGGAGGTATTTTATGGGAAGGGATGAGAAATATATGTAAATATCGTGTGTCTCAAAAAAATGACAAAATAATAATCATAAAACAACGAAAAAAATACTTAAAAGGGTTACACTTAAACAATTTTGGTCTGGTCTGGATCAGTTTGGATCTAAGAGGTGAAACCGAAAACCGGAACAAACCAATCAGTCTTTAAAAAATAAATCTAATACGATCCAAACACATTCGGTTTTTGCGGTTTCGGTCTATTTTAGATCGACTTTTAATTTTGTTTTTGGACCGGTTTGGATTTGAACCCCCTAAAAAGAGATGAAAAAATACTCACAATGTATGAGTTCATTGTATTATATATCATTCATGTTTAATAATTATTAACTTCTCAAAAAAATACAAATAAATGATATTTAATACAATATCCTTAAATGTTTAATACTAATTGTATATAAATTTTTACACTTAACAGATTTAATATAAGCCGAATTTAGACAGTATAACGTGGGGATGGGGGTGATAGACAAGGGATGTTGACTAGTTCCAACTTCGTTTGAGTCAAGGCAACAGTCCAAATTTCCATGATTTGGATTGCCTAACGTTAAAGCTAAGGTTTACGCAATTCTATCTGTCTGCCCCTACTCTCACTTTTGTGCTATAGTTTCCCATTATATATAAATTTGAGTGGCCTCTTGTCTAGACATTGCTTATGTTGTTTAGCTTAGCTTGATCTATAGATCAAAATTAAACAATGATGTCAATATATTGAACGATGATACCGACGAGGATCATGTCCTCATTTATGTTCTACTTTGTGTATCAAACCAATTAAAAAACTTCATTCAATTAAAAAAATTCAAAATTTAATATTTTAATATTATTTTGTGAAGTATAATTGATTAAGTAGGAACAAGAAAATTCTGACAGAAGGACTTATATTGTTATTACATCTGTTTTTTTAAATGCATGTCAAGTGATGAAAGATATAAACTTATGCACTGACAGAAAATTTGATGGGATCTTTTTCATATAATTAAAATTATTTTAGTTTATGTCTTTGACCATAAAGATATAAAAGTTACACATAATACGATTTATTCTGGTGTATTTTGGGATCCACTTATTTCACATTTTAATCATTAATTCTAAAGAAATTTAATAATTTGAATTAATGATTATATCTAAACTATAAGATTTCTTATAATATATGACTAAGGTGTGGAATAAATAAATTCTTTCTCACTTTATAAATATAGAAATTTGAAAGATAAAACACTAACTACTGGAAAATCCAATCACGTGTCAAATCTTTTAGACCTAATATTTTTCAAACAAATCAAGTTTTTATTTTCAATTTTATTCAGTGAATATTAAACTGCCAATAAAACCAGAGAGTTATATACTAGTTATATATTTACATCGATTATATAAAACTAAGCAATTTACATAATTAAATGGAAGCACGTATATAAGACTAATCTTGAAAAATATCAACCATAAGGTATAACAAACTCACCACAATGCACTAAGCGGTTAGTTTTGACCCATAACTAAAGGACATCTTTTGGCCCATGACAATCGGAAAGAAGTTGGACTCTGACTCTGATACCATGTTAAGGTTCCATCTCAAAACCAATTGGCAATAAGAGGAGTAACTCAACATCTATTTAAATCATTTCCGAGACAAGTCCAAATTGTGAAATTGATAAAATTGAATTAAATCAAACCGAAAAACATGGTTCAATTCAGTTTCTAGGTTCATTTTAGTTTTTATTAGTATGAAACTGCATTACATCAGATTTGCTATTCAATGTGGAAGTTGTGCAGAATATGAGTAAAAAGCTATGTATACGACAAATGGCTATTCTTTTCTTTATGATGGTTCATGTGATTCATAATTGTGTATGACTAGTTGATAGGTTTCAGATTTTTCAAAGCATACATCAATTGTTATTGCAAATCATTCATCTGAGAAAGATTTGAGAAATTTGGAATTACAATGTACCTAAGAAAGTAATGCAATAGACAAAATGTCCACATTTTTAGATGACTATGGTACTACCATTATTTCTTGCTCATTATCTCTTCCTCATGTATTCTACACATGGAATAGTACCATGCTTTCCTATTAAATTTATCGCATGTATAGGTTTGTTCAAATCGTAGTTTTGCTCCATTATTAGGCAACCTTAAACAAACAAAAAATTCCTTCAACTTCAAAACGAATAGGGCAGGCTGAACTTAAACTTCAAAACGAATACGGATTGCCTTAACAAATCCTTCAAAAGCAATATAAAATTCTCAACTTTTCAAGCATAAATACAATATACTAACTCAGGTGTTACATCCTACAACAGAGAGACACACTACCTAGTCATAAAGATTGTCTTTCCTTTTCTTCGGACGATGGCGTGATCATGCTCTATGAAGTCATGTACTTCTTAAAATGTTAGGCGAGTAAGTACTTCCACATATGGTATATAAACAA